TTATTTTGACCTTAGTTCAACCGTCAAGTATGACACTTGGTGCTTGATTGTTTATTTTTCCTTTTCTTTATCACTCAATGCTATTAAAATAAAACATGTTGAGTAGGGGGGGGGAGCAGTTAGGTAATGGAAACAGCCATGCCAGAAACAAAATATATATAGGAGATGGAAGGTAACTGCATTATAAAAATTGTTTGCAATAGTTGTTGCCAATATAGACGTTTTTTCCCCAAGGAAATGGAAATTGTTCAGACATAATTATTTTTAAAAAAAAAAAAAAAAAACACAAAAAAAGTTTTTTTTAATAGTTTCGATTTTCTTCCCAATTTTAGCGACAGCCAAAAAGCACGACAATCGGGCAGGTAACGCAACTATTATTTTGAGTTGGGTTAGGCCTACATCTGATATAGTGACCTACATCTGACAGGGTACATATTACTGATATCGTGGCCTACATCTGACGTGATGACCTACAGCTTACACGGTGACCTACAAATGACATGATGGCCAACATCTGAAATGGTGGCCTACATCTGACATGGGGTTTGGACCAGCAGTGAAAACTATTTGATTTCACAAGAGGACGGATTTCATGGGATATGCTGCTCGAGAGATTCATTTTTTAGTCATTCACTAATATTGAAAGTTACTCCAAAAATAATTACAATTCCCTCCCCTCGCCCTGGGCCGGATTTAATAAAGGGCCGAATCTAGGCCCCGTTCTTAGGCGTAGGACGCAGAACTATTTAAATCCGGTCCTGCTCTCCCTTGCCCTCCTTGTACAGTCTTTTATAAACAAAGTTCGACTCAGTTATCTGAATTCTTAAGCTGTACACCACAAAATGCTGTTACGATTTCAAAACACATAAAGAAATTAAAGATCAAACAAAACATTTCCACGGCCAATTTAAACTTTCAGTAAAAAAAACTATGTGCGTGAAAAGAAAAAAAACAACAACGTAATTAATTTTTTTTGAAGTCGCTTCCTTAGCTCTCCAAAATTGCAAAAAAACGAGCTAAATCTTTCGTGAAAAACTTAAAGATGCCTGAAAGAAATCATGAATATAATATATATCAACAAGTAGCTAATGCATGCAATTAGAAGAGTCCGTTTAATGCAATGTTAATATGCTATTGTTTGTTACAGTTGAAGCAGACAAGCAAAGTGGCCATGATGTTGAAAGTCGTAAGTAGAAAAACCTGTTTGTCTGGTGGTGCCACAGTGTCTACGTGCAATGAGTTCTTGGTGCTAAAATGCCTACGTGCGGTGATTTGTGTCTGCCGTAGAAGCAGATAATGCAATCTTTGTTGTGCAATAATTGATACTGCTCGTCACAGTCAGTACATATGATGTCGTTCTTTGTCTAATTTTGATGTTGTATGAGTGAGCGATCATTTTTTCCCTTTCGTTACTTCCCCTTATATACCACCAATTTTACTCAGACACGAATGACGTATGAGCTATGACGTATGACCGTGGCAGTGTGTTGAAAAAAAAAACACGCGGTAGAAAGTGGTGTGTAATTATTGTTGTGAGCGACAAGAAACAATTTTTTTGTGTTAATGAGTGAGTTATTAGTTTATTTAGCTGAGCACATCTTCGTTTGGGGAACAGGGGTTTCCTTTCTTCTACTGTGCGCGCCAATCATTACTGTGCTTTGTCATTACTGCGCACCGTGTTTAACCAGTGGCGTAGCTAGAGGGTGCGGGCGGTGCGGACCGCACTGGATGACACCATATCAGGGGTGACACCAAACTGAAAAAAAAATTGCAGATTTATAGAGCGCACATTGCTCGGTCTAACCGAATTTCATAACAGGATAACTCATCACACTTGTATTTCCCACACATGTAACCAATCCATTTGTGTGTTTTATAAATGTTTCAAGGTTGATGCACCAGAAAGGGGGTGACCCTATACTTAGCTCAGAAAAATACTGTTTTGACGATGATTCAACGCCTATAGAAGTCTTCGGTAGCTTTCGTAGGTGGTACTCTCTTGCCGCCAATTTTTCATGTAGTACATTTTTTGTTACTCCTGAGGCGATATTTTCCTTCTCGATCATCATGTTATGCATCCAATCATCGATGAGATGTTTTAATTGAGCACACTGGAATGTCGGTGAAAAGGCTGTCAAAAACATGTTTGAGTGCTCATCATGCTGCTGTTAAAACAGTGAAAGATAAGTTTCATAAACGTGGGCGGAGGTTGAGGCTCTTTGTGATCCTCTTGATAATTCGGATAGAAGAGTTACAGCACAAGGATTTTTACATACTGTCTGTGATGATACAAGAGGTACAGCACAAGGTCTTTTTACATGCTGTTTGTGATTTCACTTTTATCTGCTACCTTTGCCTTTGGGCTGTTCTATTTGAGGAAGTTAATTTTACACAGCAGTATCTGCAGACTAAAGCCTTTACTCTTGACAAAGTGGTTACGATCCTTACGGCCTTAAGATTTTTTCTGCACGAGAGGCGCCGTCACTTGGTGGAACATGCTACTGAAAAAGCAATTTTAAAATCAGACCAATATGGAATATTGGTAGCGAAAAGATTATGGTTTAAGAAGAGAATGGCAGGAGAACAATTAATAGATGATGGACTCTACTTGCGAGAAGAAAGCAGTAGGGAGACGCTGGAGTGTAATTATCGCTTTCAATCTGGCTTCAAGATCAGATCTTCAGCGATCAAGAACGTAGCAGATATGTTTGGGGCTGTTCAACCAAGGAGTCTCATATCAGCAGGGGAAGAAGAGTTATCGGTGTCCCTCTTTCTATGATGAGTTGCCAGAAGATGAACCTTAAAGAAAACACTTATGCATAGCGGACATCTAAAGGCAACTGATATTGAATTTTGCAAAGACATGGACTTGTCAGTATTTGATGTTTATTAATTTCATAGGATCTTTTCCAAAAATTCTTGCTATGGCTTCAATTGTTTCTTACGCTCTGTGTGTCTGTGGCTTTATGTGAGTGGAGCTTTTCAAAACAAAGGCTTATCAAGAACTCTTTACAATCCACCATGAGACAGTCAAGGCTTTCTGATCTAGATCTACTATCGATTGAAAGTGATAAGGTGAAAGATATTGATTTTCATCAAGTGATTGACAGGTTTGCAGCTTTGAAGACCAGGAAAAGACATTTTAAATGAACTAAATTTAATGTATAAGTAACTATACTATAACTTAAAGTAGTTACAGTTATTGAAACATTGACCTCCTGACCTTCAATTAATTTGTTTATGCTCTGTTTTCTTTTCTTTGTTATAGTGTGGACTTATTTTAAAAAGAATTTAAGCTTGGAAGGCGCGGGGGGCGCGGGGCTGACACCATGAGTTTACCACTCCGGGTGACACTAACATTAACACAGTATATAAATAATTGAAACCTACTTTTTATTTAAACCATCTCGTGATTTTTTTATAATTGTAACTGGTTTACTATACATCAGCTAGGACAAAACAAGGGAGTTCCAGACTCTGAAATTGTTTCTGTTGCCTTACGGAAGGGACCTACTCCTGGCCGACTATCCGCCACACTGCTTATCAGGGGCATCTATCCTCTTGACCTTGATCAATTCTGTGGGTCATGGTAGTTTAATCTGAATCGATGTCCTAAAGAGGATTGAACCCATAAGGGCCCCATGCAACGATGTCCTTAAGAAGATAGAACCCATAAGGGGCCCCACGCCCGCTCACCCCTATCATGCTGACCTAATTTTGTTGTCCATCTTTTTCACATTTCCCCTTCATTATCTATCATTTCTTCTTCAAATATTATATTATTTGATTAGTTAAAACATTACAAAATGAGGGTTAGGGTTAGGGTTAGGGTTGCTGGCAGAATTATATTTGAATATGTATAAAACGTCTATATTGTTCATCTCAAAGTCATGCCCAAACAATCATCTGATGCTTCGCTGAAAAGCGGGAAGGGAAAGAAGCCGTGAGACTTCACATGTGCAAGGAACTAGAGTCACATCCCTTTACAAGAGAGAGAACAAGAAGGTCATGGCAAAAGGAAGTGAAAGACTTGATTAAAACTATTGCTTTGTAATGAAATGTGTGACAGTTCGTTCATTTGCGTTTCTAAACTTACTTAAAAAGGGATAAAACTGCCTTATTTCCCCACCTCAATGGGAACTTAGAGAATCCTCTCCAAAACAGATTCGTTGGAGCATTCTCAGATTCTGCCTGTTGTGATGTCGTTGTGTTGTATTTTCCTAGTTGCTTTGTTCCTCAATGCCCATGTTTCTTGAATTGGAGATGTGGGAGGTCATGTTGTTTTGCTTGTATTTGTAGCTAATCATTAAAAATCTAGACACCAAGCTGAATACAGGTGTTATTTTTCCTTGAGTTAGACATAGTATTACTAAATATGACACTGCACACACATCTTACATTCTGACTCAGCAGCCATCCAATCAGATTATTTTTGTTCTAGCTGCTATGTTCTCTCTTCATTAGAATCCATATTATATTTGCTGGTAATTGGGATTATTAATTTCACAAAAAAATCAACCTATCATAGTGAGGCAGAGATTTTGCTTGAATAATAAAATATGAAAATGAAATGGCTTTCTAATATTTCTATGACGGTACACAGCTACAAGCACTCTCCACATACTGACAAACATGACAGTTCCATGACTGTACACAGCTGCAAGCACTCTCCACATACTGACAAACATGACAGTTCCATGACTGTACACAGCTACAAGCACTCTCCACATACTGACAAACATGACAGTTCCATGACTGTACACAACTACAAGCACTCTCCACATACTGACAAACATGACAGTTCCATGACTGTACACAGCTACAAGCACTCTCCACATACTGACAAACATGACAGTTCCATGACTGTACACAACTACAAGCACTCTCCACATACTGACAAACATGACAGTTCCATGACTGTACACAGCTACAAGCACTCTCCACATACTGACAAACATGACAGACTGACAAACATGACAGTTCTATGACTGTACATCATGACAACCATCATTTTTAAGTAGCGAAAAAAGACAAAAGCTTTGTATTAGTAATTATCGAATATATTTGATGTTCAATAGAATCTATGTAACAATGAAAATACGTATGATAATAGAAGCAAAAAGTAAAGATAGTTTTACAAACATAATTACAGGATTTAAACATTCCTGTTTTAACATGAAGGGGTTCTGAGAGTGTTTTGTAAAAAAATATTTTAAAATGACAAATCAATTGGCAGGTTTGAATAAAAGACTAGGTCAGGACACTGTATTTAGTGGATGTCCAGTAGCTTCTGGTGTGTGTATTCTGTCTCTGTTGTTGAATTTCATTAAAGTTCATTGGACCAGGCTTAGTTATCCTCAACTTCTTCATATCTGTTTGGAAGAAAGAAACATTTGGAGTGTAAGCAAAAAAAATTTCCAAGATATGTTCTATGAGACATAAAATAATTTCACCAGGGAACTTCCATGGGTCAAAGATGTCTATGTGTCTCAACATATGAAGTTCCATGGGTCAAAGATGTCTATGTGTCTCAACATATGCAAGATTCAACGGCTGGATTGAGCCTCAAAAGTTGAACCTGTTAACTGAAATGTTGATCTGCACGCTTGATGAAAATAATATCACTTATTGAAATAAGGTCATATCAAGATATTGGTACTTTCATGTGTGATCTTGTAGACTCAGAATAATTACAAGTTTTTTTGCTTTGTTTTTAATTTAAAGTACTAAGTTGTGCTGTATTCACATTTGCATGTGAATTATGGTAATTTGAATAATAAAATGACTGAACTCCTTTCTCACAAATTTTTTGTTTCTAGCATAAGTTTTAACATTTTTGGCCCATCAATAACACCATCAAATATACTACATTATAAATAACCAGGAAAAACAAACACACTTACTTCATAACCCAATACACTTACTTCATAACCCAACACACTTACTTCATAACCCAATACACTTACTTCATAACCCAACACACTTACTTCATAACACAACACACTTACTTCATAATTCAACACACTTACTTCATAACTCAACACACTTACTTCATAACCAAACACTCTTACTTCATAACCCAACACACTTACTTCATGACCCAACACACTTTCTTCACAACCCAACACACTTACTTCATAACCCAACACACTTACTTCATAACTCAACACACTTACTTCATAACTCAACACACTTACTTCATAACCCAAACCACTTTCTTCATAACCCAACACACTTACTTCATAACCCAACACACTTACTTCATAAGGCGTTTTCTTAACTCTTTCATCTGGTCATTTTTCCTTTGAAGCATTTGTTTCAGGTTTTTAAATGGATTTGTTTGACTCACTTTCTTTTCTAGTTCCTGAAATGGCAAGTAACCAGAGTTAGTTTTCTAGTTCCTGAAATGACAAGTAACCAGAGTTAGTTTTCTAGTCATTGAAATGACAAGTAACCAGAGTTAGTTTTCTAGTTCCTGAAATGACAAGTAACCAGAGTTACAAGTAACCAGAGTTAGTTTTCTAGTTCCTGAAATGACAAGTAACCAGAGTTAGTTTTCTAGTCATTGAAATGACAAGTAACCAGAGTTAGTTTTCTAGTTCCTGAAATGACAAGTAACCAGAGTTAGTTTTCTAGTTCCTGAAATGACAAGTAACCAGAGTTAGTTTTCTAGTTCAGGAAATGACAAGTAACCAGAGTTAGTTTTCTAGTTCCTGAAATGGCAAGTAACCAGAGTTAGTTTTCTAGTTCCTGAAATGACAAGTAACCAGAGTTAGTTTTCTAGTTCCTGAAATGGCAAGTAACCAGAGTTAGTTTTCTAGTTCCTGAAATGACAAGTAACCAGAGTTAGTTTTCTAGTCATTGAAATGACAAGTAACCAGAGTTAGTTTTCTAGTTCCTGAAATGACAAGTAACCAGAGTTAGTTTTCTAGTTCCTGAAATGACAAGTAACCAGAGTTAGTTTTCTAGTTCCTGAAATGACAAGTAACCAGAGTTAGTTTTCTAGTCATTGAAATGACAAGTAACCAGAGTTAGTTTTCTAGTTCCTGAAATGACAAGTAATCAGAGTTAGTTTTCTAGTTCCTGAAATGACAAGTAATCAGAGTTAGTTTTCTAGTTCCTGAAATGACAAGTAACCAGAGTTAGTTTTCTAGTTCCTGAAATGACAAGTAATCAGAGTTAGTTTTTCTTTAAAAATTCAAGGTGGAAAAAAATTAATACTTAAAACATATTGATAAACAAAGTTTTTGTTCAAGATTTCAATATGACTTTAAATTTTGCACAAACATGTGAATCAATTTTTCTACATTATTTTTTTTTAGTACATCTTATGATTTTTAAACTTACCTTTTCTGCTAACTCTAACATCTCCCTAATTCTCAGTAATTCATGTTTTGTATTGGCCATTTCTCTCTCTGCTTGATCCGCGGATATCTGGCCTTTTTTACGCTCCTTAAGAGAAAAATTATAACATAAAATTTAGACCACATAGTGCGGGTACGGGTAAGTTTAATGGATATAATGTATCCTAATGTACCCATTTCAGCACTAGAGGTCATTAAGCACCTACCAAACAAACAGCTGAATGATCTAAAGTGGTAAAAGATCCCTGATCCCAAGTGAAATGAAACCCTTCAAAGTAAATTATATTTTCGCCGTAACTCTAAGAATACAAGTCTATTTTTTCAACAAAAAAAATTTTTTTTGAAGATCTAGAGCTTCTCAGGGTCATGAAAACATAATTTAAAACTTGCATCAGTGCAAAAGTGCACTTTTTGTCAAACCATCTAACCAAACTTTAACAAATTCTTTTTCAAGATTTTATTAGGATTTTAATGTTTAATAATAAATATGTAAAATCTGACTTATGTGATTAGCGAGTTTGAATAGAATTGTCATGGCCAAAAATTGTTAAAAGTAAAATTAAATGATGCGCAGCTGACACTCAAGAAGATCATCTTTGACAGTAGTGTTAAAGTGAGAAGAGTCAAAGGTCTCATCTTTGACAGTAGTGTTAAAGTGAGAAGATTCAAAGGTCACATCTTTGGCAGTAGTGTTAAAGTGAGAAGATTCAAAGGTCACATCTTTGGCAGTAGTGTTAAAGTGAGATGATTTTTTTCAAACTCATGGGCACGCAGATAATGAATTCATAATTTTAAATCTTTAAAAAAATAATGTAATCTCCTGGGATCAGTTTTTAGTTTTCCAAATAGCGGAAGTGTGCATGACCAACAAATGGTTTGGAGACCAATGATGTATGACACAATTGTTTTGCTGACTTCCTTCTTTGTTTACACTTATGCACACAAAAATTAACATTTAACATTAACACCAGTGCATTTTGCTATCTTTCAACCACAAACAACACCTGTGTGTCTTGTCGCCTAGCAACCACAAACAAACAACACCTGTGTGTCTTGATTCCTAGCAACCACAAACAAAGAACACATGTGTCTTGTTGCCTAGCAACCACAAACAAACAACACATGTGTGTCTTGTTGCCTAGCAACCACAAACAAACACCTGTGTGTCTTGTTGCCTAGCAACCACAAACAAACACCTGTGTGTCTTGTTGCCTAGCAACCACAAACAACACCTGTGTGTCTTGTTGCCTAGCAACCACAAACAACCCCTGTTTGTCTTGTTGCTTAGCAACCACAAACAAAACATTGACAGTAATCACCTGATCGATCTGCAGTTGAAGCTCTGCCATCTGTCTGCTCATGTTTGAAATTTCTTCTGGTGTGGCACCGGGCTAAAAAATGAGATTTATTGGTCAAGTTTAGTCCAAGTATTTATTTAGCACTTTTTAGGCAATTTAAGGAGTTTGAAAATAAGGAATTAAAAATCTCATCAAAAGAAACTCATCAATTTATAGAATTTCTAAACTTCCATCATGCAACAATATAAGCAAAATCATTGTGCAAATTTCCTAAAGGTGTTTAAATGTTGTCAAATTTGTAGCTCAGCTATCAGCATGCCATTTTTTAAATTAATATTTAACATCTAAAAAGAGATAGCTTATATAAGAAATGTATCAGTTCATTTATCAGTAAGTATTTGCATTTGTAAAACAACAGACAACTACTAACCCTTGTTCCTTTTGCCATGAGTTCTGCTTGCATTCTCTCTAGATCAGATGTTAAAGACTTTGTTCTTTGGTAGTTGCTGGTGAACTTTGAGTGTATTTTAAAAAAAATAATAAAATTAATCAAATACATGTCTGATAAATTTGTAAAGATCCTTTTAGTTCTGTAAAGGTGATAAGTGATTTGTTTATTATAATGAGTGGATCATATATTCCTCTGAACAGAACAGGATTTTAAAGTGAGGAGTAAAATTTGATTTTAACCCCAATTATTAATAGAACAAATCAAAACAAAGTGGTTGATTCAATATGTTATCTATTATTATAAATAACTAAAGTGGGCTCGATGGTGGTCCTGAAAAACTATTACAGAAAGTAGAGTGTGTCGGTGACTGGATGTACTAAGGATATATGGTACACATAAAAAAATTCAAAACTGAAATGCCAACCTCCCCCCCCCCTCTTTTTTTCCCATCAAGCTTGAGAAACCAATAGTTTATATACAAAATCAAGATTTAGAACAAAAATTTAATCCTGGTACAGCTGAAATTATTAAAACAGCAATTAACTTCTTTGCCAGGGGCCCACATAATGAGTGTCTTGCCACACTCTTAGGGCCCCAACATGAGCAATGTCTTGCCATATCCTTGGGCCCACACCATGAGGAATGTCTTGCCACACCCTTAGGGCCCACACCATGAGCAATGTCTTGCCACACCCTTGGGCCCACACCATGAGGAATGTCTTGCCACACCCTTAGGGCCCGCACCATGAGGAATATCTTTCCGCACACTTGGGGCCCACACCATGAGGAATGTCTTTCCACACCCTTAGGGCCCACACCATGAGCCATGTGTTGCCACACCCTTAGGGTCCACACCATGAGGAATGTCTTTCCACACCCTTAGAGACCACACCATGATGAATGTCTTTCCACACACTTGAGGCACACACACTTGAGGCCCACACCATGAGGGATGTCTTTCCAGACACTTGAGGCCCACACCATGAGGGATGTCTTTCCACACACCTGGGGCCCACACCATGAGGAATGTCTTTCCACACCCTTAGGGCCCACACCATGATGAATGTCTTTCCACACACTTGAGGCCCACACCTGGTCCACACCATGAGGAATGTCTTTCCACACCCTTAGGGCCCACACCATGATGAATGTCTTTCCACACACTTGAGGCCCACACCATGAGGGATGTCTTTCCAGACACTTGAGGCCCACACCATGAGGAATGTCTTTCCACACACTTGGGGCCCACACCATGAGGAATGTCCTTCCACACACTTGGGGCCCACACCAGGAGCCATGTGTTGCCACACCCTTAGGGTCCACACCATGAGGAATGTCTTTCCACACCCTTAGGGCCCACACCATGATGAATGTCTTTCCACACACTTGAGGCCCACACCATGAGGGATGTCTTTCCAGACACTTGAGGCCCACACCATGAGGGATGTCTTTCCACACACCTGGGGCCCACACCATGAGGAATGTCTTGCCAGACACTTGGGCCCACACCATGAGCCATGTCTTGCCTCACCCTTGGGGCCCACACCAGGAGCCATGTCTTGCTACAATCTTGCTACGCCTCTGGTTGGTGGAACATGCAAATATTGATATGCAAACCCTTTTAAAAAAAATATTTTGCTCTTCAATGTTTACCCTTCATTATAAAAGATAGAAGCACCACTGCCCTTACAATTTATTGAAACATAACTTTCTAAGTCTTAACAATCATAGCTATGAGCCAAAAATTATTTTATTTCTCATGAATATGTATATTTATAACCTAAAGACTAACAATGGTAAGGTTTGAAGACTAATCAAATGTTATTTTATTGTTCTTAACACATTTGTTCTATTAGAAATTTGCAAACACTCACTTCTTTGTCAAACTTGGCTAGTCTCTGCAACAGCATTTCATTTTCAGATAGCAGTTCATCAATTTTCTATTAAAATAAATAAATAAGTTTTGTTAATCTATGAGGGCATTCACAGGGCCTCAGTTAAGAGAAGCATTCACAAGGCCACAGTTAAGATAAGCATTCACAGGGCCACAGTTAAAATATGCATTGACAGGGCCACAGTTAAAATACACATTCACAGGGCCACAGTTAAGATATGCATTCACAGGGCCACAGTTAAGATATGCATTCACGGGGCCTTTTTATGGCAATAAAAACAAGCCAGCACAAACTCCCAAACCACCTGGAAGCCTGCAATGACATCATCCAGTGATAAAGCAAATCACCTCAAGCAAGCTGGTGACCATAAATAAAGACTTCCTTTGCCCCAGACTTCCCCAAAGTATATACATTAAAAAAGTCATTTAGGCTTGAAGAGTCCATGTATGTGTAACACCATAAAAAAAATAACAAAGCCCAAAGAAATGCCCACAACTCCTCAGTTGCAGGTCACTGTTAAAGCCAGTTGCAGATCACTGTTGCAGGTCACTGTTGCAGGTCACTGTTAAACTTACTGTATTTAAAAGTTGAGTCAGACCCGTATCATTGATAGGCATCAGTTTCTTAGGCACAAAATCTTTGTCCTTCTTTGCCCCTGAGAATTCTCGTTCTTCAAACTCCCGGATTTGTTCTAACAGTTCTCTGTTCAATTCGAAATTGGAAGAAAAATAAAATTTTGAAAGGAGAACAATAACGTAGTCAAGAACCAACTAGGAAACTAATATACTACGTTTATGCTTATAAAGGGTGCCCAGCAACCTAACTACCATTCATGTGACTATTTGGGTTAACTGAACGTCTTGCCAAAAAGTCCTTCTTCTTTATGTATTAGGAATGTTTCATTTGATACTCTGTGACACTCTATTATTTATTTATTTATTTATTTAGGCATTTTTATATAGCGCTTATCATAAAGCTCTAAGCGCTTTACAATTATTAAAACATGTAAACTAAGTAAATACAAATGAGACACTAGGATAGTAAATACTATTCTATAGAAACAATGAAAATGGCTATAAAAAGAGGACACTTTGACACTTCAGGATTAAACCGAAACAGAAAATTAGGTAGGGCAAGGAGGGTGCATCACAGGTCATAGGCGGACCTAAACAGATGAGTTTTAAGGGACTTTTTGAAAATGGACGAGTTCACAGGTCATAGGCGGACCTAAACAGATGAGTTTTAAGGGACTTTTTGAAAATGGACGAGGTTTCACTATGACGTATATGGAAGGGGAGCTGGTTCCAGAACGTGGGCCCATGGAAGCAGAAGGAGTTTGATTAGTTTGATTAGCATGCTTAGAGGATACAATAATCAAACAGACTGATGCAGAAACTATTTAAATAAGTGCAAAAATTAAAAGTGATTTTAGATTTAGCTGATCTCAAGGTTGAAATTTTACATTAAAATTAGCACTAACCTTTTAGTAATTAATGCTGAAAGTGACCATGGTAGTGACATGAAATTGTGAACAATATACCAATGCTCTGGGATATTATAATTCAAAGTTTATGTTTATGCTTTAAGTAACCTTATTTTTTTTTTGGAGATTATTTTATTTAAAAAGTGTAGGCTCTTCATGAAAAATTACAACTAGTGAACAATATGGGTTAATCTGGCTATAACCCTTCTTAAGCTGACTTGATTTAAAAACATTGTAAATTAGGCAAGAATCAATTATGATTAGAACTAGATGCATGGACTCGAATAAATTTTTATCTGATTTAAAGTGTTTTCTTTACAAAATTATTTTTCATGCATGTAATAAAATAACATGAACTGGGTATATATTATATTTTGACAATGAATAATTTTATGTAACTGTTTTTTAATGTCATGTTTCTTTTTTTCTTTTTGCTAATTTTTATGTGAAGGGGTACCTAGGCTGGGGTACCGCGCTATATAAGACCAATTTAATAATAATAATTTACTTTTCATTTAGATAAATAAACTTTAGAAGCTTATACTATCTAACACTGGTAATATACTTTCATTTTATTATTTTTGTGTAGAATTATTTGAAGATAGTAAACCAAGGAATGGCAAACTTTCAAGTAATTTTATTAAATAAATCTGCTACAGCAATATTACGGGAGTTGCAGTCAGGGGTGAACTGGGAGAGTATATTTGCAATTGACAGCTAGGTTAATATTTTACTTATAAAAAAGCACTCAAAAAATATTATAATTAGAATATTTATTCATTCTTTCTATTATAACAACTTCTTGTGCTAAACTAAAAACAAATAAAAATTACTTATTTGATTCATTTAAAAGATATTTTTGATGTGACTTTTTTTTGGTTGCGTTGAGCTTATATTAATTTTAATGTAAGTATTAATAGCATTCTAGATAAGTAAAAAAAAAAAAAAATTTTTTAATAAAGACACAAGCTTTATTTATTCCAGAATCCCAGGTTGCCAACCTCTCTCATATACCTAATCAAGACTTTCAAAATGTTAAACAAAATAGGCTAACAAAATGCTAACAAAATACAAATATTTCATAAAAAAAGAGTTATGATCTCTCGAGAATTGCATTACTCTTTATTAGTCATGTTGAATGGGAGTGATGCTGCTAGGGGCACTGAATGAGCATTGTAGTTATAGAGCAACAGGCAAAAACACCTCAAGTGGGCCATAGGATATGAGAGTTAGGGAGGATTCACAGCAACGTCAAAGGCAGTAAAGAGTTTAAGATGATGAGAACTATCAATAAAAACAACAACCTAAAAACTCATGTCAAGTGTATTAAATGGGTTTCAATGTGATCAGAGGCATCTCACCTATTTTCCAGTTCTGATATATCAGTGGAAAGCTTAAGATGCCATTTTTCTGCCTGCAAGCACAACTGTCTTGTCATGAGAACATTAGTGTGGGCCGTGTTGATAAGCTCGGATTCAACCTCTGACCTAACCACAGCCAGCAGGCCATCCAACATATCTGTGACTTCATCAACTGTGAAAGTTTCATCTGTCAATCTAAAATGGTGAAGTAGAAAGCTGAATGTGGTTTTTATAGCACTTTCATTTTGGATTATTTTATTTCTAATTACAAAATGCTTTTAGGAGCCATCAATTTCTTTGGATTTCCATCCTCTTTTTTTCTTGTGGCTTACACCTCTGAAATATTCTCTCTCATGTCACATGTCATTTCATACAAATGAACATGTATGGAAAAACTTTTTTCCATGTCTTTTTCAAAACAAAATTATTTACAAATAAGTTACAAACAATAAAATAAACACATTTTTAAAAAAATTTAATAAATAAATCCACTTTATTTACCTGCTGTCTTTTAATTCTTCAAAGCAAACATCAACAGCTCTGAGCCTCTGAGCTCTTTGGTAGCGAGCAAATCGAATATAGTTTATCACCTGAGCCTGGTGATGCTCATTGATGCCTAGTTCTGACTGTGACACAGATATATAACAGTACCTAGTTTTATTTGCAGTTAACATACAATGCTATGTGCTATCTTTATTCAGTAATTGCAATGACAAATGATATAAAAAAAAATATATTTTTGTTGGTGCCTCAAGATATTAAAGTTGTTAAATGGAGACTTGTACAGATATAAGATGTAGGTTCTATACTTGTAATGTGAATAATTCAGAATGTAGACCTAGGGATTTCTGACAAATTTTAATGTACATGATTGGGTTTGTATAATTGTGGTAATTCTTTTAGTACCCATACAAGTGGGGACCTCTTGTCTAAACAGTTTGAATAGATTATCAATGTGTTAATTAAATATATTCGACATTTACTAGTACTAGTCAATAATAAGAGTAATTCACAGAATCCCAAACCATATGTGGTGAACCCAAATGGGAATAGAGTTTTTCTACGGGGTCACTGGCTAACACAATTTACAAAAAATAATCATGATTTTTTTAAAAATATATTTTTTTATTGGTGGCAGTTAGATACGCTGTTATACACATAATATTGATAGGTTTGACATATGGCAGTGTATCTCCCGCACTATTTGTCCGGCGACCAAGTCACATGACCGCCGTAACAAAGTGGCGAGAGATATCTTGTCAGGCAGCCTTGTCACGTTGACTGCGATTGATTCAAAACTATTATTAATTTTAAAATCTATTTCTCTACCAAGTAATGTACTGAGTATCTTGAATGCAAATAAAAGAAAAAAACTTAAGTGAAAGTGGCTTGTAAACATTTTTGTTTAGTTTGTTATTTGAGTTTGTGTACCAGTAATCCATAAAATAAATTAGGGGCCAGTGTGAAGTAGGCAACCAATAAAAGTAAAATATTTCATTTTAAATTGTTTCAATTGCTACAAAATATTTAAAAACTTCTCATGAAACTACTGTTGCTGATGAACATGATAATATAAATATAGTATAAATTATTTTTAATTAAAATGGGAAGAAAAAAAAACGAACTTATCCCCGGTATTGATCCTCAATTCATATTAACATCAAGCGAACCACTTTACCAGTAGACCACACAAGATCTACCAACATGCACTTCGTTCGGAATTATAAAAACTACTAGCCGTCCGGCAGTCACGTGACATGCCGCCGGACGTATATCTTGCGCACTATTTGTCCGGCGCGCCGGACGTGTAGACACTTCGTTGACATATATACCTATTTTTAGTTTATAGGCCTATCTATCAATAATTATTTCTTGAAACATTATTTTTCTATCTATAGTTTATAGGCCTAACTATTAATATTTTTCTTTTTTTTCCAAGCTCCAAAAAATAACCTGATTTCTGGACTGAATTCTGTATCAATGCATCTACTAGACTGTCTAGATCTAATCTCACCAGAATTATCATCCTGCCATCTAATGCTAATAGTCATAGAGCACTGAGTCGTGATCAGCATTATCTTAAAAATAACACATTCTTCTTGGATTTACTAAAAAATTGAATGAAATTTAATGTTTAAGTTTAAGATTGACTTTGTTCTTAGTAAATATTAGAGTTGTTGCTAGACTAGAGGGTAAACTGTGGGCCCAGAATATCTAAGTCCAGTGACCAGGTAGACCAGTAGTTACTGTCACTGTCACAAATAACTCAAAGAGTCTCCAGTCTGTGTGAATGACTCACAAAACCTGACTGACTTCTTTAGTTTAGCCTAGTTCAAATCCAACTTAATCCAAGTCAAATTAAACCTAATTTATTAATTGGCATAATAGTATTTATAGATTCTGACTAATGATTTATCAACACAATCAATAAAATCAATAATTATAGTATCATCATATTCACTTAAAGATAAACAATAACCCACTCAGCTCACTCGGTCACTGTTTCCTTTGGGAAAGTGACGAGTGTGTTAAGCGTTAACTCAGTAACTCAGTCTCTGAGTTGACAGAGCGAGCACCAGAATTTGACTTGGCTAAATTAATAAGATATGTTTTAGAAAACTATATATCAAAAGAGAAAATCCAAAGAACAAAATCATGATAAAATGTATAAAATATCACAAAATAAAAATTTGCACGTGAGATGATCATCGTTCAACAAGTGAAATAAATTAACACAAACCATTTTAGCATCTGTTGCCAGCAAATAAATTTTAGTTTACGGATGCGATGGTTATTTTCAAATCGAGGCAGCAAAGGCTGAAGTGAATATTGAAGTGAATCATGTTTAAAAATAAAATTAAAAATAAAATTTAGTTATTTTTTGACTGTTCACATAAAACAATTTTTAAATATAAATGGCTATGAATTAATTTAAAAACTCAATAATAAATGTTGTTATAGTCCACAATACCATATGCCAAGTTGAATGACATTGCCCATGGCCGATGGCGTATCAGCTAAAAAAAAATAAAATATTGTTACTAACATTTTCTAACAAATATTAAAACCTATATGTAATTGAATGCGTATTGTTTCACCATTTAATAATATATTAAAATGTAATTTATATCTAATCAATACAATACATTCAATGCATTTATTAACCTTTTAGGTTGAACATCATCAGATATTTTTGAGTTTATTATGTAAATGATGCCAATTGTTCTTTGTTTCCGTGGTATTTGATATAATGTTACTTAAGAAAGAATTAAAAGACAATTAATAACTTCCTACAAACAAATTTTCACAGCTCATCAACACAAATAAGTTCACTTGTGTGCCCTACACTTCTGAGGTCATGTGATTGTGAAACTTCAGAACAGTCAGGTGCGTCTATCACCCCCCCCCTACCAACCCCTTTCAACACATTTTTTTTAGTAATGGAAGCCAACCTAATACCCCCCCCCCCTCCCTGGAATAGGTAAGTTTATTTTAGGGCCATGCCAGTCAGAGCATTGGTTTTTAATGCGGAAGCTAACTATGAGTATTAGTAATTTTAAAAAAAAATACAGTTTAAAAATTGTTAGAGCTTTGTTGACTATTCAATAATAATATTAATAACAAACTATTTAAAATAATCATCAAATTAAATTTTCAAATCCTGTGATAACTATTAAAAAATATGAATTTTAGTAGGCCTATAAATTAAGTTGGTTATAATTCTTAAAATTTATTGACTGATCGATCGGTTTCATAACTGTGTGGTCAAAGCAGCCTAAGCCTGAAATCAAAATAGACTTTTTCCACCCATTAAAAATATAATAAAAATATTCAGCAATTGTATTTCTTTCTTTACCATATTAATATTTTGTTACCTGGAGAATTCAATAGGCAGGCAAGGGGGGGGGGGTATCCCCCCCCCCCGGCCCCTCAGATTGGAAGGGAACTGTTACCTTCCCCCTGTTCAGCCCCCCATTGAACAGTCATGCCTATATACATTTTGTTTAGATGCACCCAACCTTTTCTTTACCATATTAATATTTTGTTACCTGGAGAATTCAATAGGCAGGCAAGGGGGGGGGGGTATCCCCCCCCCCCCGGCCACTCAGATTGGAAGGGAACTGTTACCTTCCCCCTGTTCAGACGCCCATTGAACAGTCATGCCTATATACATTTTGTTTAGATGCACCCAACCTTTATTTATTAACGGTCGAATGTAATTTTAACATGATTTTTTTTCCTACAAATTATTTCTATCTACACATTATTATTCTGTAAGTTTGTTTGCAGATATGGCTTCAAAACAATAATATAATAGATATTTTATTATAGATAATTTACTAATGGGCATTGGTTACGATAACAAAAAGTTTAATTCATATGGTTTTAAAATTCCCGAACACACATTAAAAATGGCATATTTATTTATCTATAGTCGGCCTATTCTTAAGCTGCTACCTTTCAAAAGCAAACCCCTAACATAAAACTTCGACAAATCCCTGACACGTCGCATGTATACGTCACAGATATTAACATCGTTCCTGCCTTTCCAAAATGGACACCGGAGGTAAGCTAACATGTGAACCTTATTCTATTTTGCTAAAACTGATATATTTTCATTCCCCATCAAATTTCACTTAAATGTCCCATATTTATATGATTTATATTAAACTGCTATTTATATTAAGGTATTAAGAATGGTTTTTATATTGTAAACTAATGAATTTTATTATCCATACGGCACAACTGGTAAGCCGCAAATAATATGCCGAAGATTTACTATTAAACTTGTTTTTAGACTTACGCCTGTTAACAATATTAACATAGAACACATCTTAACGATAATGTCAATGTTAAACTTGGCTGAAATGTTGGGTAAACAATACTTAAAAATACAATTAAGTGTAATTATGAGCCATTATGGGTGTTGGCTTTGTTCACAGTCTGTATAACTAACAAACCATAACTAACACTGATAACACATAGGTGTAGTGAAGTGTAGACGTTGACTGTGCTACCACTGTACTGTAGGTACTTGGCACTTGATACAAGTTACAGAGTGAATTCATAGCTTTATTTTTAAAAGAACTAGTTAGTTGGACAGGGCTTGAAAAAAAGGCAGTTCATTTATATTAAATTTATGGTTGTAGGTCAATTCTATCGTTGTGTAACAATTTTTTTCATGAATTATTTTGGTATAATTCTTGTATTTGAAGCCTGGTAGGCAGGAAAATTTAGTAGTATCTAAAATAAAAATTAAAAAACTAGGCAGAGAGGGGAGGTAGCTTTAAAGAGCAGGGAGTTGAGAGAGATGGCTGTTAAAAAGAGCAGTAAATTGAATTTATTTAAGTACTTAGTAAGGAATTAAGGAACATAACTATTACAAACCATATATCTCTGTGAAAGTCATAACAATAACGATATCCTGGCATCATAAAACATTTACTGTGGTACTCATGATGAGCTTAAACTTACTAACATATTTTAAGGGCCCATGATCATTCTGGCTCCTATTTAGTAGAGGGGTTCGCGACGTTTCTATGCCTGTTATTGAAGAAGATATTTCATTGGTTGCCAGGGCTACTCAGCGAGGTTATCAGGAACTGGGGGTTGGCAGGCAGTAGCTGTAGGCGCAAATGTGACGTGTTGTCGCTTCAACTGTTCCTTTGCCTTTTGGAAGCTTGTTCCAGTTCCTGATTGTCATTGGCAAAAATGAGCAGTTCCTGTACTGTGTTCTTGCTAATATGAGCCGGAACTACCTGTCATGGCTTCATCGCTGCCTCTCAATATGTGGGTCACGATCCTTTCACAGGGGTCGTCTTAGACAGTCAGAAAATACTTAAACCCTAGTTATTAAGCATCAATGAAAATAATTGTGTAGTTGTGGGCCGGCACAACATGAAGAACTGTTATCGTTGATTTTAAATGAGGTTTGGGACGAATCGATGATGGGATTGTCGATGTATAAAAACCTGTTTATTTCGGTTCTTTTCTTAGCTATTTTTTAAAATTACTTTTAATCAAATCTAGAATGATTTCCCTTTCATAAACATCCGGTTTTTCTTTATTTCAATGAGTTTTTACATATAACAAAGTGAAGTGGTTGTTTTGATTGTCCATTTTAGTTTTGTTAACAAACATGAAATCTTGACCTGACCCATTTGGTGATCGATCTAATAAAGGTTAAAAATACTACTCTGATGATGATTCAGATGCTGATTCTGATAAATCGTAGTACCAGTGATGAAATAATGAAATTTATAATTCATCAGCCGATGAACAACCAGCCTCGCCCCTAGCTAAAGTGCCTTGTAGAAGAGCTAACACTGTTCCTACTAAAAATAATGTAGATTCTAATAGAAAGCTGCTGATCTTAGCTCTAAAGCTGATTGCAATTTCAGATTTTTTCCTTTGAAAAATGTAGGTGTAAATTTGGAGCTTGTATTGTGACTAGTAATTCAAATGACCTTGACTATATTTTTTTACTTTGCTAGACAAACATATTATTCACAAGCTTGTACTCTTAATAAATGAGTATGCTCCCTACATAATTAAAATCAACACTCCAACAAGACTTATCAAAGCAAAAAGGACAGTGTGCAAACACTATTGAACAGGGCAAACTGTACCGGTATACATTTGTCTCAAATTTTGTGCTGGATGTGAGTCTAATCCGCACATCCATATGGATTGTTTTCAGGCTTACCATAGCTAAACCCAGATTAAAAGATATGAAAAATTTATGGTAAATTTTCCATTTACCATAATAAATGTTAGTACATGCAAAGATACAGTGCAAATATATTTTAATAGCAACAGATTATTTCCCGTGGACTGAGGAAATATTTTTTTCTGACATTTTTTGTGTGGCGGTGACAGTGGATAATGTGCTCTGGTGTTTAATATTTTTCTTTTTTTAATGTAATCTTTATTATATGTGATGCTCATATAAATATAGTTCAGAAAAAAAAACATCAAAAGAAAATTAAATGAGACTCTGCAGGAGTTTGGGATACCCAGCAAACTGACAAGACTAATACATGTAACACTAAACAGCTCAAAAAGCAAAATCAAGATTCAAGGAGAATATTCAAGATAATTTCAGATTAGATGAGGCCTAAGACAGGGAGACTCACTGTCTTGTATGCTTTTTTACCTAACACTAGAGAGAGTTATGAGAAACATACACATTGACACGATAACAGGATACTTTCTGAGGGAAACTCAATACCCACAACCAACGGGCACAATTTACAACCAACCACTTCAGTATCTTGCATATGCTGATGACATAGCACTGCTAGGGGAAAGTGTTAAAGACATATCAAAATCCTTTATTGAATGAGAAGGCGCATCGCTACAAGCAGGACTGGAAGTTAACAACCAAAAAAACAAAATACATGACCATGATAAGAAAAGAACAAATTAATGAAGCAATTAAAGTTAGAAACCAGACTTTTGAAAGAGTAAATAATTCAAATACCTAGGATCTCTGTTAAATGAAAGAAATGAATTACTAACAGGAATAAAAGAAAGAATATCAGCCGGAAGCAGCATACTTCAGTACAGATAGTCAGAAAATACTCAAAAGTAAAAACATTACAAGAGAAACAAAGAAAACTATTTATAAAACTGTAATCAGACCAGTTGTTGCATATGCAAGTGAAACTTGGACCCTAACAAACAAGGCAGAAAACCTATTAAACACAGGGGAGAGGAAAGGTCTCAGGAAAATATATGGACCAACAAAGGATGAATATGGATGGAGAATATGAACTAATCATGAATTGT